ATTTTGCTTCAAAGCCATTTCTCAGAATGAACAAGGCGTGATTTCCCCTTACATATTATTGGGGAGGTAACACATAATTCTTTTGGGGATGCAGTGACTTATACAACACTGAATTGCATCATGCTAATGAGGATCATTTACGATCCGTTATTGAAGTAAATAAATGTTGTTGCAAACTTCAGCTCAAATGGTTCAATGATTTTCCATAGGAGAAAGGAAGAGGGGAATATCAACATTGAGGAGACAAAAAGTAATTAAACACTCAAAATATGTTTAAAACTAAGGATGACCTCTATAAAATTATTTCAAAGTATTCAATAATATTTTACCTGATTATACAACATATATTGATCTTGTTATGACATCAAATTTAACTTAAAGAGAGTCAGTAGAGGTACAAACAGAGGATGAACCAGTGTATGAATTAAATGCAGAGACTGGTCTATTTTAGTGCAACAGTTTGAAAGAAACTAGATTACGTTTAATGTTGTACTTACATTCCGCTTTTATATCCAGGGAGGGTTAGTGAAGCTTTGTATTTTCAATGGGGAATAGAGAAGAGTTGCTTTTCTCTTTCTGACTGCAGCTATGGCCTGCAGCTGCTGCATCTGACTTCTATGGCGTATTTTCTGTGCCACCAACCTAGGGGTGCAGTTTAAACTCACAACCCCTCACTCAAAACATGTGTGGTTGATACTCAACTCTGACAAACACTTCTCTGTCAACTGTGTCCCAGCTCCAATCATTTTCTACACAGGTTCAACCCTGTTTGTCTTTCCCAATCAGTGGCTACTCCCTTCTCTCATCTACAGTAACTTATCACTATTCTCTGCAGAATTAAGTCGCCTTCATTGCACAAAAGGATATAAATAAGCCCTCTGGGTTTGAGATGGTAATTCCTCGCAATACTGGAACAGAAAACTGCCCTCACCATAGTAGCAGTTTAAGCTCATGCAGCCACTACTGCCATGATACACCGGCTGGTTGAGAACGAGAGCTGAAGACTGTCTAGAAAACATAAATGGTTAACAATACTGCTACTTAAACATGCGACTCATTGTATGTTGTTGAGTTTAACCTTTTTAGCCTGTATGACTTTATTTAGATCAAATAGTGTGATAACTTGTCAAGACAATTGCACTTATAACAAAATTATTTCTATAGCCTATGTGAACAAAATTTGTTGGTGAGGTGTTTCATTACTCAATGTGTGCAACCCATACATGGAATTTGCATTTATACATTTATCCTCCAGGCTGAACATAATTGGTGCCACAATTAATTGGTTTCAGATTGGAATAAATATGGCCGACCCTCCGTGGGCACAAACATGAGTTGTGGGGTGGGGGAGGGATTAGCCCCTACTCTTTGCTTCATCTTTGCACATACTCAGCCAGATCTCTGTTGCAATGTGCTGAGATCATTAATAAGCCATTCATTAACAGGTGTCACTCATCTGTTAATAACGGAATGACAGATCAATGCAATATGCTGATGAAGAAGAATGCATTCCAGCAACCTGTGGTCCCCAAAAGAGGACTTGCATTTTCAACTCAAGGTCAGCCCAATAGGTGGTACATTCCCTTCCCGGGTGATTTTTGTCATTTGTAAATTTTTGTGAAATGTAATTTTGTTTTGTGAAATGTACATTTGGTCTTATGCTTTGAAAAAGAGATTCTGTTGTGTTGACTTATACCTCAGAACTACTGTAAGCAAGTCTTTAAATAGTGTATACACTTTGAACAGCAAGAGTGACAGAAAAGAACAAAGGTCCACTTACCCTCATCGACAGATTCTGTATGGTCAGTAGAAGTGACCTGGTGTATAAGGAAATGGTAATTTATATAAGTAAATTGTTATCGTAAAGTTTGATTAAAAAATGTAGGAACTGCACACTGAATATATTTTGGTTAGACATGAACTAGATCGGGGAATACCACTCACTCCAGCATCCCCTTCCTCTGCGACAAAATTATCAGAACTGAGATCTTGCTTATGTTCTCCTCCATCTGCATGTTCTTCAAGCTCTGAATACAGATTGTTCTCAGGGTCTAGTTGATGTTCTCCAGGTGACCAAGCAGTTGTGGTGGAATCAAACAGCGGGCTCTGTGTCAAGATATAATCCATTTAGGTTAACATAAAGCGAATACATGATATAACCTAGTTTGATTTCATATTCAAAGAAGAATATGCAAAATGTTTAGTGAAGATCTGTAAAGCTTATTTAAGAGAAAACCCATAAGTTTGAAAACTGTACCTGCAACAGAATGTAGTTCTACAAAATAATAGCTTAAAGATGCAAAAAGACATTTTGTTTACTTTTTCATTTCAGTTTATCCTAAAGAAATAAACATGATTTGTGGATTGTGTCTGTAATGACACAACAAAAACATTATTTTGTTAGAAAAGTATAATTTCTAAAAGAAGATAAATATTGAATTTAAGGCCATGTTTACTGTAAACCCAGCTTCCTCATTCAGCACCTCAGATGAACTTTGAATGCATCTGCCAAAATTTGTAACCGTAAACCCGATGCAGTCCACCTATTCAATCGTGAGCACGTGCACGAGAAATGTAAATGTACCTAGTTATCACCCCTATTATGCTATATAATGCTATGACTTCCCACGCTGTAAATGGTTTATTAATAGCAATGGCTTATTAAATAAAAAGCAGCTGCACCATCAGCACACCTCTTCTGCAATCATCACCAGACCCTCTTTTGGCGAAAAACTACTCTTATCCTCCTATCAAGTAAGTTTCCTACTGCATCAGCGTAACACTTTTATTAAAGGTCTCTAACCAGTTTCCAGTTTGGTCGCTCAGTCACCACACCTCTTCCGGGGGAAGATTACTCCATAATTTTCTGTCCGGCTGTTTTAAGCTATACCCCGTACCCACTCACCTTAAAAAAACCATTACAACCCTAGGTACAACTTTTAGTGGCAGTGGGAACAGACCCATGTCTACCCCAGTAAAATGACTTGGCAAGCGATCCGTGTTAATAATAATAGTAATTTAACTTTACTGATCACATATCGGAGAAATTTACCTCTGCATTTAACCCATACCCTTGGGGAACAGTGGGCTGCCATCGTGGGGCGCAAGGGGAACAGTGAAGGGTTAAGGGTCTTGCTCAGAGACCAAGAGTGGCAGTCTTTGGGAGTAGTGCTTGAGAACCTCAGGATTGTAAGCAATATACCCTAACCAATAGGCTGCTACCTCCCAAAATTGCCTCAGCTGTGATGGGCATGCTGTGGGAACACCAGGCCTGGGTCAACCTGCTAATCATTTCATTCATGTCAATAAAATCTTCCTTCATGTGAGCCTCTCTAGAATGAAATATCATTTTAGATTTTTTTTCATCCTTTTTTTTTCTTTTAAACTGTTTTGACTGTTTTGACACCTCAACTGACATCGAGAGGAGCCAGTTGAGGTGGCCCGGGCATCTGGTTAGGATGCCTCCTGGACGCCTCCCTGGTGAGGTGTTCCGGG